TCTGATAAATATATAGTAAGAAGCATTTAATTTTTTTTTAAAGCTCTTCTATTGCAATACTTACTTATACACACCAGCCAGTAATAATATGCCTAAGTAGGCTTGAAATAATTCCTCGTCAATTTCTAGGTGGTTGGATCCATGTAAATACTTTCCGTAGCTGTTCGAATTTTCAATAATAATTTTTGATAGTGAAGATGGAAAAATTAGCAGAAATGAATCCCGAATGTTATTTACCCGGCTTGATGCAAATCTTGTTACACCTAAAAACCAAGTATCATAATTCTACAACAATTTGGTAAACAATTGTTACCAACCTGGGCGCACATTGATAAAATTTTCTCTCCCCAACCGACCAGTGGCATAAGGCTCGCTACGCCAAGTAGTACCATCTTTTGCAATATACAATGGATCATCAACTGAACCACTGACAATTATGTCATCCGGTTCAGATAAACAGCTTTCAGACGAACTACTTTCAATTTCAGTATTAGGATCGGAAGCATCTTCATCTTCTTCACTCTCATCCAGTACCTCATTCACCATTTCTTCGAACGTCAACAAGTATTTAACAAACTAACTTAATATTCAAAAAAGAAGCACTTGACCTAATAAAACACTACACAAATATCAAAAATAGCGTCGCACATGACGTGCACCGCAGCAAAAAAACGTTTGAAATGCTATACCTATGTATCAAAATTGCTACATAGCTCGAATTATGAAGTTTTTGAATTTCTCATGGCCTATKTGCAAAATTTTTTCAAATTATGTCTTAAAATAACGGCAATGCGAAAATAAACAAAGTCACAAAGAAGGCGGTATCTAACTTTTTTCTTGCCACAAGTTACGGTACTACAAACATCGAAATGTATCATTTTTGATACAAAGGTCGATTAACGGTTAATAATGTTTTTGATCAAGGAGCTCAGCTTAATGACAATTGATTTATCTATATACAGCTTGGAGCATGTGTCGATTTCAAATACGCAACGGGAAAAGGTCAATTTTTCAAAAATGTAAATATTTATGTAATTCCGTGGTAATCGTTGGCGGCGCTACTCAGCACCGCTAATCAGAAACAAATGAGCGACCACTTCGGAACCCGTTAAATCAATTTTTGAACGTCATCATTGAGGAAGCGTTCGCGTCCACGGCTCTTCTTATTATTTTTCTATATTTCTAAAACTCGCGACCAAAACAGCGAATCCGACTCAGCTATACCTTCGACCGTCCCTCTACGAGAATTTATCACATAATTTCAGGTTTCTCTTGTAAAGCAGGCGCCATCTGTTGATAAGGATAAGTATTTTTTGGACTGACCTCTTAAGTCAACTTAGTATGTAATAATTGTTTAAATAATTACAATTTCCAGAGAATGTGGGTGATTTTAAATATATATAACATAATAGTTTGGTGTAGTTGCCATAATTTTATTTGGAGTTCCACACAAATTCTTGATCTACCCCCAGGCCTAGTCTTAAACTACTTCTTGAGGATTATATATATAAGCGAAGGGACTCTGCAGGCATTGAATTTCCATAGCCTCGATACAAAATCCACAAGAACACATTTCCAGCTGCAACATTATAAGTTACAACTGCCACTGCTTAAGCAAAAAATTAACTAACACCCATCACAGCCTCAAAATATGCTCCCAAAAGTGTTAAATAAACATTACGAATTTTCTAGTACTAAACTAATGTTTAAACAATGAGCTGTGAGGAGCTTTAAGGCATATGTATACTCGTTTGTGTATAGTGTTTTTGCACTCTACTGTTGTATTTGAATTTGACTAATAGACTGAAAGACTGTTGTAGTGTGTGCTACTTACAGCTGACAAACACATTTCATGCTAAAGTAGCACTAAAGAAAGAAGAAGACAAAAGTAAAACAGCAAAACCATCTCCACTTGCATGAAGCCGAAATAGTTACAAAAGCAAATAAGTGTCCGTATGCAGTAGTTTAGTTGCAGCAACAGCTAAATAGATTGCAATGGCTTCCAATGCTAGAGTTGTCAAACTGACAACTAAGGAGCATGTCTAATGTGGTAAGTGACAATTACATGCTGACATTGGCAGAATATACACAAGAGTTCATTTCTATAAGATAAACTTGAGCAGGTAGTGAGCGCTATTGTACGTAAGCTATTGTGGAACTAGTTATGTTTGGAGCAGTGTTAAATTTTGACGGATTTGTGGAATATCTACTTATGTGAAGTCATCACAAGGGTTCATAAAGGGTTGTAGTTATTAATTATGTTATTGTCATGAAGCTTACCTTGAGTGAGTGGTAGTTGACTTCTTTATTTTTAAAACGTTGTGTTCTATCAGATAGTTGGAAAAATTAAATTGAGTTATTTGGCACTTTTATCATTTCAATTGAAATAATGGTTGCATTTATCCAATTTTACAACGAATTTAACAAAAAAGCAATCTATATGGAAATAATTTTCTCACAGATATCAATTTAACTTTTCTAATGATTATATGCTATACCTGCAATAGCTTTTCTACTATAATATTTTAACTTACAACTTCTGTTATTAAACTAATATTGCAAATACTTTGCTGCATTGAAATTCTCATCAATTTCTTACTAGTTTAAAGATTAAATATAGTCACGAAATATCCTCTCTGACACCACAGTGTGTCCATCATCTGTGAGTCTACATATGTATAAATATAGTAAGTGCGCTCGGAAATTGACTTGAAGAACTAAGCACATATGTACCCACACAAAAACACACCCAAGCTGCAAGAGAGAGCACTGTGTGCTTCTACAAAAATATACTGCGTGTCTTACACTGCTGAATCCGGTTTGACACTCGTCAAAGACAGCAAAGCGAAAATAATATAAGACAGTATTAACAAATATGAGTCTAATATTTGTAATAGCATGTCTGAATGAAATGAAAATGTCTTTGTCGAAATATCGTTTTGTCTTTGAGTTTACCCTTTACATGTGTATATTAGGGTGCGGGTTATTTCTTAAGTTGATTTTCTTTTTTTTTTTTTGCAAACACTCAGAGGGTTGAGTTTTTACCCTAAAATAGCATTTAACGGAAGCAAACTATTTAGTTTCATTTTAAATCAAAAGTATTTTACATTTCCCATAAACATAACATGCGTTTTGTTTAGATAAAAAAGTTGAAAAGATCGAAGCAAATGGATGATGTTAAGTTAAGATTCAGCAAATCATCCATTGCCGATTTTTTAAGGAAAGTGGTAGAAACAGGTTGAACGGACTGTAAAAACGGCTCTAGACGTCGAAAAAAGACGGCGCCTGCCGAACACCGAATGGTTAAGTGGATGTATATCCAGAACCCATTTAACTCTTGAGCAGACATCTGGAAGGTAATTGGTAACGCCGGACTTGTAGAAAGACATCCCGCAAAAAGTTTTAAAAAAGCCGTAGCAAAAAACTGCCCAGGATAACATTATAGTATCCTTTATTTGGGTTATTTTGGAAGTTTTGTTGCAAAATCTGACTATATCTATGCCCAGACGTACTGAAGCGGTTGAAGAGATTACATAGGTTTACGGATTTCAAAAAATCCAAATTTTTTTTACTGTCTTAAATTCTACAATACCTCTAGAATATTATTCTAAATTTTCAAGTTGATGCGAGTAATAGTTTCGGTGACACAGCCTTGAGAACTTGTGCGCTCGAGGCCAGCTAGTCTAAGTGCGTCTTTTGAGGGGTCAGTAGGGTAATATTAAAAAAAATAATTTTTTTTTGCATCTTCTGTTCCCATATACCCTTAGAATTAATGTAAAAACCCACTTTACCATTGGAAGGTTTCAAAAAAGACTCAAAAATAATAATATTGCTCGACGTTCGGAGCGCTCAGAGTGTACACGTGGAACTTCAAACAAGCACACTTTTTTGAACTGGCGGTAGGTCTAGTAGGGACGATACTTTAAGAATAAATTAGGGTTTTATGTTTCAGATGATCCAAACATGAAAAATCGTGCCCGCCAGTGAAAAAACGCATCTCATTCACCCAGCCATTTCTCCGACATTTGTCGTCAAAAAATTCCATAAAAATTTGTTTTATTTGTGAAAAATGTTCGATTGTAGAATAAAAATTTCTATGAGAAAATTCATAAAACCAAGCCAAATTACCATACTGACCCCTTAAACGTATTTTTCTTGAAACTATGTTTTTGAACTTGGTTCGCAAGATTTCTCGAGAACTACTCAACCGATCTCATAAAATTTTACACGGATATTTGAGATGCAATTCTTAAAGACTTGGACGAAGTACTCTTTTTTCAATTACAACTATTTCAAAAAAAAAAATGTCGCGAAATTTCACTCAAATTTTTGTTTGTTTGTTAAAAGTCCGCCAAAAATCAAATTTCATTTTTTTTCCTTCGTCCTACTTCTTAGCTAAGGCTTTAACTAAAACACGTATTTTTTCACTTCAGATGGTATGTAAAGAGTTATTCCCAAAGCGGGCGCTCCTTTTTTCGATGGATCACCGTAAATGGCGTCTCAATGAGCCAAGTTAAAATATTATTTCCAAAATTTCAGAATTTCTTTGTTAATTTTGTATATTTATAACAGTAAAAAATTTTCATAAAATAATATATTTAATTTTTTTATGAGAAAAAAAAATTGCTGAAAAACCTCTTTTTTTTTAATATATTAAACCCATATGTATAACCCCTTAAGTTAAAAGCAAGTAGTTTGCTTGTGTAGATTCTTTTTATAGGATTTGTAAAATAGTCAACTTATGATAAAACGGCTACCCTAATAAATAAGTACCTGCTACATTCAAGCATTTGTTGCCATCAAAATCATATCTTAAATCAGCAAAGCGCCACATGTATTCAAGAATCGCTAGTTTTCAAATTACCCACACAAAATTAACTCAATGTATGTGTATGCTTCTGCAACTCACTTTTTAACTTTTTGCATGCTTATCGCTAACTTTTGCAATAATTAAGTAATTAACTTTAATTTTGACTATTTTTTCTTCTTGTCTCTTACAGATCTGGTCAAAAAAGCAGCGGTGGTTAAATATACAATTTTAGCATACATTTGAGGTGAGTTATTGCAACAGCATAAATTACTTTATAATAGCATTACTAATTAAAAGCACACGAATTAACTATTTTAAGCGAGCTTGGTTGGCAAAAAATATTGTTTAAAATTTAATGAATTTCAGCATTTTTCACTTAAAATTTATAATTTATCGCACAAGCACGTCACTCCGTCTGCAGCTCCATTCTAAAGTGCTGCTGAAATAGCCTTTGACCTTTGAGTGCTTGCGGTGTGCAGCTAAAAATATTTCTGGCTGTTCTCTCATATAGAGCGGCTTATGCAGGCACCAACACACATAGTAATTAGCATACTAGCGCAGCATATATTTTTATACCTAAAGATGTCAAAAGTGTTCAAGCATCAGGCACATTTACCAAATGAATTGCGTGTGTACATAATCTACATTTATCTCAATTCCTGCGTTGCTTATACGCCCCAGCCACCTTTGTGTTTGCTAACGCCTAAAGTGTTAAAATAACCACAACAACAATAACGTAATATGAGTAGCTTAGGATTTGAATATACCAACATAGCGCCATAGCAAGCAATTTGAGATTTTAAGCCAATTATATTCAATTAAAGTGCGTGCGAAGGCTTGATACACACATACATTTATACTGTAGTACTACCAACTATGGGAATTACATACCAAGCAGTAATTCCATACTTATGTGCGCGGTTTGTATTTTAGTTCATGCAAGCTCACCGAGTGAAAGTGAGAGAATTTGTGCAAAAAAATTGTGCATTTTCCTGAACTATTTCAGAATGTTTTATGCTTAATAAGCATACTCCTAAATGTATGTGGGTTAGTTAGGCTCGAGTTGATGAAATTTAATTTTATGATTTGTAAAGTTTTGTTTCTGAAAGTTAGGTAAATAAAGAGAGGGGTAAAAAGTAGATAACATACTCAAATATTTATTTCTATAATAAATTGTTATACGCTGAACAGGTTAGCCATTTTCGTCTGCCTGAAAGTACTCAAACTAGGCCGTTAGTTTTTGAGGTATAAATCAGAAATTTTGCACACTTGCTTTTCTTCCCAAAAAACCCACACATTTTACAGAATCTCCGGTATCGGGCCACTTTATCATATAGCTGTCATTCTAACTGACCGATAAAAATTAAGATAAAAATCTTTTTATACATTTTTATGCTATATGCACTTGTGAAGGGTATTCTAGCTTCAGTAAAATTTCAAAATTGGGCTTCTATTAGTAAATAAGTATCAATCACACCATAATGCTTGAACGTATATTTCAAAATGAAAAATTATAAGACTGTCGAAATGCTTTTTAATCAAGATTCCTATATTCTAAAATATTTTCAACCGATTTTGGTAAAAGTTTATTTTTAAAAATTTTATCAAGCGTGTTGTCTAAGCCTATTTCCAACTGATTCATTTCAGCTGATAAACAGAAGCTCAAGGTTATTAAGTAGTTATTCATTGTTCACTATAGCTATTATTTTAACCCATAATATTATATATTGATTTTACGCCCGTGGAACATACCCTTATGTAAAATATAAATACCTCATTCTCTCTACTCTCGAGGGAATAACTGCAACATAAAATCCCCTTCCAGCTCATAGAAGACACATTTATTGAACTATCTTTCTGGGAGCAAGTTCTTACATCCCATGACTTGACTGAGTCGCCCCCACTTAAAATATTTTGTTTTATATTTTGTTTGTATATTCTAAAAACCACACGTATAAATAAATAAGCTGATTTAGATATAATGCTACATCATATATCACTCAATAAAAAGATATTCCATTAGCGTTGAATTCAAAACATATTGCATGTGCGGCATTCGAAAGGTGTAAATCAAAGCATTTTCAATTGGCGCATGCATTTATCTTTATCAAAAATACTCGCAGAATAAAATCTAGCTCAAATTAGGCCAAACACATTTCAATTGTGATTGAATTTATCGAGACAGCAGAAACAATGGCAGGCTGCCGGCGTAGAGTCGGGTACCCTTTAGGAAAATTTAGAGTTTGATTTTCGCTAAAATTCAATAGAATTTATTATTATATATATTTTTTTTAAGATACTCGTATTTTATATATGGACGTATTGAATATTTGGGAAAATATTTTGTTGCTAAAGTTGTGCGAAAATTTAAATTAAATTATAATATTTTCAAAATTTAATTAAAAAAGTCAACAAAGCAAAGTTCAAAAGAACAGATAATTTTTTTCTGAAATTCATTTAAACCTCAATGGTGGCAAGTGGCAAATTTCTTATGGGGGTTTGGACATAAGTGAATATTAAATGCCATTGGGGGAATTTCATTTAAGCACATATATTACAATGACACTTATATAGCTGAAACCCCCAAAAAGTGATACACATAGAATGGTATACATTAGAAATAGAATGGAATTGAATGCATGTGCCTGCATAATATTTATATATATTTGCGTTTAGGCTAGGGAGTAGTATTTTTATCTTGAGCAGGGTATATTAAGTTTGCCGGGAAGTTACAAAGGAAAAGACGGAACTCCACTCCACGTCGGAAAGACGGAAATATCATATATAAATGATCAGCATGAGAAGCTGCTCATTAGTCGCAACCGCTGATATCTGACCACTATTATTGAGATCGAGTCCCTACAAACTGATCGATCAAACTCAATTGCATATAATATTTTGCATTTGTGAGGGGTATTAAAGCAGCGGTGTAACCATGTTTTTTTTCTTTTTTTTTTTTTTTTTTTTTTTTAATAAAAACAGTCGCATTTACATAAGAATTGAGTTGAACCAACAAACCAAACGTTATGAGTACTTTGATTTACTGAAAATATAATTCATAATATGAAGAGGGATATATAGTATATCGTATTATCATAACTTTCGAAGTAGTTTTTGAATACCTGAATATCATGCCTGAAACTCCATGACTACTTTTAATGTTCATTTCTATGGCATAAAATGTTCACTGGGTTAAGTGCACAGATATTGTATACTTGGAAAAAATGTTTCACATGTTTACATGTTTTTACCTCATTTGATTTTATTTTTGTTGTTGCTATTTAAATTTGAACGTTTTAAATGTGGATCGTTTATATTTAGAATCAAAAATTGTGCTGGAGAATTAAAGTAAAACAAACGTCGACGAAAACCAGACTGCGAGGCGGTTGAGGTCACTTGCAATGCACACACAAACATACAGCGTTGAATTTTAAAACCAATTTTCTATTTTCAGATATATTTAAAATATATATATGCGCTTTGTGTTTCAATAAATTATTGCGTGTATATATAAGGGGACCTTCTTTAAATTGCAGTCAATCGCTTTATATCTTTGTATACATTTAGGTCTTTCTTTTTGGATATCAAATATTTTACCGCAGTTTGTTTCAAACTTTTTACTTGGGTTTAGAAATAAATGTATGGACATTTTGTTGCTTTTTAATGCATAGCAATTATAAGTTAATGTGTTTAGCTCAGTATTGTGCGTTGAGAGAGATAATATATCAATTCGATTAAAATTTTTTGGATACCTTATTTAATATCAATAAGTATTAAAGTTTTCTTCTCCATTTTAATAATCGAAACTTTTTCCGTAAGTGTTTCGGTACAGTCCAATAAAAGCTCTTAGGTATATTTTTCTCTGCCTCCGTCTGTGAAACAATAACTATAAGGTCTTGTCAAAAACCATTATTTTTACATTAAATTGGAGATTTTATTTAGCATAGTCGCAATGATGCGACCTTAGTGAAATATGATTGATACGATAACTTGTTGCCATTTTTAAGGTTCAAGGATTTCGATTTTCACAAACGAGATAATTTCACGTTTTGGGCCGGTTGTTTGGCCACCAAGTTCGTGTGATATCACATCGTTTGACTTTTTCCTGTGGGGACCTGTAAAGTCTAAAGTCTATGCGGACACTCTCACTTCGATCCAGGCTTTGGAGCAAAACATCACGTGTGTGTTTCGGCAGTTACCAGTCGAAATGCTCGAACGAGTCATCGGAAATTGGATTAAACAGATGAACCATCTGAGATGTAGCATACAAATATAGTGGCTGCTATTTAAGAGGTCGCCGACTTATTAAATTCATTTCTATATAAAAACTTTATTTATTACTCTATTTGTATTAGCGCTTGCTCCATCTATTACTATTGCACAATTCAAATTGAGTTTTGCTTTATATCTTTAACAATAACACCAAAACAGTTGCTCAACTCTCAACCCCTTTAATTAACTCATGGTCAATAAAACTAGAAATAAAATATTTCTTACAACTAACAAAATTAGAAAAAAAAACGCCAAAAGCTTATAAAACGAAATCTCTCAGCGAGATTTGATTTATGAATTTATTGTCACAATAAACACGTATTCCAATGGCAACAATAACAATGTGAAACAAAATGCAAACATTATCCGAAGCGGCGATCAGGTGGGGAAACACAAAGTTGTGACAGCGTTTCCCAGCTAACATATTTGACACATCTTCACAACAACAAAAACGAAAGCCAAAACACAAAACAAACGAAAAATATTCTACACAAAACCGAGCGACCACACATCGCGGACACAAGCGGAAGTTGCCAACTGTCCTTGCGATTTCCAAACTATTTCTTTTTATTGGCGCTTCCGCCAACAGCATGCAGCAATGCAACAGTTTCAACACACAGCTGAGGCCACTGCTGCCCTCGGCAGTTGCTGCTGTCCGTGGCTGCTTCGGTTTTTGCCAATTTACTCGTAATGTCTACATTTATGCGCCAATTTGAAGATATAAATTATAGATATTAATATTTCGTGGAAGTGCGCCAGTTTGCCGGGCGTTTACTTGCTCTTTCCTTACTTTTCCGTCCGAAACTTTGGTGCCGCAACAGTAATGGCAACAACAATTGTAGGTGCAGTCTGTTGCTTCGGCTCAGACTTTGCTGTTGGCGGTGAGAGTTTTGTTTGGTTTTTCGTAGTTTAAGTGCCACCGTTCGATTTTTTCGTTTCATATTTGTGTTATTTGTTTTTTCTGTATGTCTC